ATTATAAAGTTGTCTTTTTATTATTGGAACGTTCGAGATACACCATTGCATAAGTGGAGTTTAATATCGTATCTCCTGAAATCTCATTGAAACCTCGTCCGAAAGTTTTCGCTATTCGCAGAATACCTGCAGTGAAAGCAGAAGAAATTCGTCAGGACTTAGCGAGAGTACTTAAAACAGCAAAACCACTAAAATCACCCAAAAAGTTGGTTATGGACAGAAATGAATACGACGACAAGATTACGAGCCTTTTGGACCCAACCATCTATAAGAAGATATTAAGGAAGATGGAAGAACTGGTTAAATCCACAGGAATAATAGCAGAACAACAGTATTGCGTATTCGTACAGGCCCCACTTGCCCTAAGGATATATGGATTAACTAAAATCCATAAACCAAAGGTTCCACTATTGGCTGTGACATAAATTCTCCCACCTATCAGTTAGCAAAGCGCCTTGCCAAGATTCTGTCTCCTCTTACAGGTAAAACAGAGCCATGGGGGGCGAATGGCCCCGTGGTAAGCTCTCGGGCTACCACGCCGGCGTCCTGGGTTCGATTCCCAGTGAATACACGCCGAATCACCTCCCCGTCCTTCGGAGGGGACGTTAAGCCGTCGGTCCCGGCAACCAGTCTAACATCTCTGGTTGTCGTCAGACAAGGTTTATATATAAGAGGTTGTTTAGGTTCGTACGCAATTATACTGCGCATTACGTCACATGTGGAAAATAATACCGCCAAGCAATTCAAATTAAACAAATACATGGAGTACCACATGGCCATGAGGTTGCGTGCGCAATCCGTGATCGCTTACGTCACGAAACACTCCTGCTCTTGCCCCTCGCCCACAAACTAAAATCAAAGTATTGCAGCATAGGAACTTAGACAACCTTTAATATATAAACCTTGGTCGTCAGATACATGTGTAGTTGGAGGTTGTGAACGTAAAAACGGGTTGAAAGCGCGTCTGCGCTCTTTGAGCGGTACTCAGCCATGCACCCAAGTTTCTGGGCGATGGAGTACCAGCCCGGCTTGGGGGCCGTCTTCAAATTGCTGGGCGTTGGAGTACCAGTCCGGCTGAAGGCGAGGCGAGAAGCGATATCAGCCTGATCGGATGCCATCTTCGAACATCTTTCACTCCTCCAAATAGACCTACACATGGCCGAAGTAAACCGTGAGGATGTACAAAGGGACCGTTGGGGCCTAAGTGCTTTGGTTATACCACCTGTGGTTTAACCAACCTCACATGAAACTACATACATACATACAAACAGAGCCATATGTTAGAGATTCCAGATATTGTATAGAATCAATTAGGAGTATTTTTATAATCGTGGTAAGTTTCGACGTGGAATCTCTCTTCACCAGAGTACCAGTCAAAGATGCCGTGGATGGTCTTCGGCAGCAACTCATCCCGGAGGATTTTTCAAAGTATATCCCAGGACTAGTGGAGTACTGCCTATCGTCGACATATTCTAGCTAGAATAACCTCTGTCACCTGTGATCGCCAAATTTTACATGGAGATGATTGAAGAGGAAACGTCGATGACACTTTCGTGATCTGGCAACTTAGAAAAGACCAACTCCAAGAATTCTTAGACCACCTCAATTTACAGCACCCCATGATAAAATTTACCATGGAAACAGAAACTGCAAAACAGTAGCCATTCCTGGATGTGTTGGTCACTAGGAGGACAGATGGGCGCATGGAACTGGGAGTATATCGAAAGAAGACGCATACGAATAGGTACCTGCAGGCTTCATCCCACCACCACCCACAACAGAAGAAGAGGTTTGTGATTGAAGCCTTATTCCAGCGAGCAGAGAGGATATGTGATAAAGAGAATCTGAGAAAAGCTGAAAGATCTAATGATATCGTGGTACGATACGGTACGGTCAACAAAATACAAAACACTCTTCCGATAGCCAAAGACAAACTAACCCCATTAAAGGAAGCAGAAGTCTATAAAGTTGTCCAAACTGGACGTAACATCGAATGCCGCATCAAAGAACACGAGACGAATATCCAACTGAGTAAAATCCAACAATCTGTAGTCGCAGAGTATTGTCACAAAGGGGGATACACCATAGAGTTTGACAAAACCAAAGTGCTAGCAAGAAACGGACCTTACTTGCAAAAATTGACGAGAGAGGCGATAAAGATTCATCGACATGGGAATAACATGAATAAAGAAGACGGTTGGGAACTCATCCGCACATGGAAGAGGCTACTGAAGTGCAAACAACTTAGACACTAATTAGTGATTAATTATCTTTTCATGTATTTATTATCAATATTGATTTTTGAAAAAGGTTGCAACAGGGTATCGGAAATATCAAACATTTTTTTAAAATACGCACGACTTAACCCGGATTTAAATTAATGATTAAAATTAAATTAATTTGAATAACTTTAAAATATATTTTGACAACAAACTTTCACATTAAACCTAACTACGGCTCTTTATTTTGCCTACAAAATCGATATAGCTCCTCTCGGACAACGCCCCCAGCTCGCTAATGCAAGAATTAAAAGTTTCGTAAGTAGGACGAGTTCGAAAAAGAAATTCTATCTTACCCGAAAAACTCTAGATGAGAAATAAAGTCTTCAACGAAGCGTTGATTAATAATAAATGATAAATAGTCTGTTTATCAGGAAAACTTTTAAACGGTCATTAAACGGTAATGTACTTAAATGTATTTGAAATGTAATAGACGCTAAATAGTCAATCGATAGTTACCGGATTTTCGAATATGACTTTTCGTGTATAGCGTGTTACGTGGTCCACCCATTGCTTTGAACCGCCCTCACAAAATCTGCACATAATCCTATTCAATTCCCTAAACAAATGGGCGAGTATTTCCAGCGATGGTTATAAATGCGTTCTCTTAATAAAATCGGGTAAAAAGGCCGTATGATGTAACAAATGGACGAGTTTTAAATTTGACGCAGCCGCTAGGTGAAGTACGTTGGCAACGTCTGTCCGCTTTGCTCTGGGTACTTTACTATCGCTTCAGAAATTGAATGAAAACTTTCCGGTGAATTGCGGTGAACCTAAAATATGAAATAGCTACGATTCGGCCCCGACTTTGGTTTATTTTAACTTGTTTTCATAGCGTCGTATCTGAAATTAAATCGGTGAGCCGGTATTTTATGTCTTCGTCGCAAAGAATGAACTTAACACACCGGTGCACACCCATTTTCAAAGTTTTATAATATTTGTAGTTATAACGAACTAAATTTTTGATATTAAATCGATTCGGTTTATTCAAACCACAATGCTTTTTGTTATAATAGAAGTTACATTTATCTTTTGATCCTGATACATTTAAGATTAAACGTAAAGAAGGAAAAATTGCGGTTCGTTGTATTACGAACCAGTATTGGCCTGAAATTTTTATCATTACTCGAAACTCCTGCAGCTTGTATTTTCAAGTCTTCGGCCAAGTCCCCGGAAACGTTTGCGCTAGTTTCGTTAAACGAGATTTACCTCGAGAGGGAACTGACAGCGAATGCCTTCTCAGGTGATGTCAAAAGTTGTGTATTGCTTTTCCAATTTATTTTTTAGTCAACATAACGAAATATCATCACACACTTTAAAATATTAGTATAGTTTTATTTTTGAGTTGGAATCAATTTTTAATAAAGTTTTATTTTTTGGTTACTTTAAGTTGCTTAGGTTGGTAGTATTACTAATTAGAATAAAAAATGATTGATTAAGGGCCGGTTTATCAATATCGAGTTAAATCTGTCAGATACGCAACTCATGGATAAACTTGTCTAACAGATAACGTTTATCCAGCAACTTTCTACCCGACAGGCAGCAAACAACAAGATAGAAAACAGTTGGTGCCCCTGAGTGTTAAGATTAGAAACGGAAATAAAACATGATTGGTCAAATTTGAATAATTGACTTTAGTTTGTGATGTTGATTTGTGAGTTGTCATACTCATGTAATTCTTACATGAGTATTTATTAGAAAACGATGAAGATGAGGATATTGTCCAACTACGTATGCCTACTGGTGACCAAATAGAGAAATCACAAGAACAATTTTATGGAAAAGCTAGATTTCCACGGGTGATAGGCAGTATCGATTGTAATCATATTAGCATTATTTCGCCAGGTAAGCAATCTCTTTTAATCGAAACATATGAATTAACATTAATGAGTGGATAATAATTATAGGTGGACCACGTGCAGAGACATTCCGGAATCGAAAGGGCTTTTTTTCATTGAATGTTGCTTGTTGGCCAGGATCGGCCCATGATTAACACATTTTTGATAATTCATTATTAAAGCAAAGGTTTGAAAATAATGGGTATGGTAATGCTTTGCTAATGGGTGACAGCGGATATCGTAATACCAAATATTTGGTAACACCTTTGCTGTATACCGGAAATAGAGTAGAATGAATCTTTAATAAGAACTAGAAATCCAGTGGAACGGCAATATGGCGTGTGGAAGAGAAGATATCCTGTACTTGCACTCAAGCTCCGATTGAAACTAGAAACTGCAATGACAGTAATTGTTGCTACAGCAGTGCTACATAACATAGCAATAAATGCAAAGGAAGAAATACCTCCATATGATCCTGGAATAAATGTAAATACTGTCGAGGTAGATAACCTTGATATAGAAGATGGTGAATTACTAGGAAATGCTAGAAATCAACTTTTGGCGAATTTATAACATAATAATCAATTTTATTTAGATATTATTTCAATTCGTATATTCGTATAATTTAAAGAATTCGTATAAATGTGGATTGTTGTTTATTAACAAATACGTTGTCTATAAATAGTTGAATTTAAATAAAAAATACTATACTCAAATATCACTTATAAGTTATAACAATATAACAAATTATAAAAAAAATCCAATGGCGATCTAATCCCCAGATTGATATTGTGGAAATTTCAATTTACTATTTCCAATTCCATTTGAAGTGTACGTAATTTTACGGCTTCTTGTTCTTTTTGTATGTTAAGTATTTCCAGCTTTATTTTATGCTCTTATTCTGCCCAAATATTTTGCTTACTGAACTGTTCTGTAAGTGCTGTTAATAAACATTCCTTTCGTTCTACCAACTTTTCAAATTGCGTTGATATAGATTTGTTACAACTTTTTTTAATAACAGGTCTCCTACGGCTCGACCATTCTATAAAAGTAAATATAATAAGCATCAAGTAACACCGTAGTGCATAACTCTGCATAATCAGACTTACTTCTCAACTCATTTTCATTTTGACATTGTTTTTGCTTAATAACTTCCGAAGGAATTACTTCTATGATTGGGGTAATCTCTACTTCTGATATAGTGTTTGGAGGAATATTTTGTGTTTCCAAAGAAGAAGAAGTATTATCCTGGAAATTACTTTGAAGTTGTAATGCCGGATGTTTTTCGGTTTGTAGCATTGCAACTTCAAATTCATTCCAGTGGCACGTAACGTCTTCTTCTGTTACGTCCTTTGTTACATTTGTCTGTAAGTTCTTTTTCACTTTCGGTGGATGGAACTGGTTCTTTGATTGGCTTTCCACCACCTGTGCCTTTTAAGTAATTTTTGTGCGCAGAATAATTTTTATTTCCTTTTTTATCCCATCATATTTCATTCGCAGTTGTTTTGTAGTTCTTGGCTAAAGCCATGAATTCAGATTATTTTATATTTGTTTTATTTCAACGTTTTTACTTACTATTCCAATACTACACCAATTAAATTTTGCAGTAATTTTACCCCAACATTCATCTTTTTGTTTCCATGTTACAGCGTCGGTTCTCTTATTTTTTATTATATTTTTATATTTGTTTGCCAAATCAATCAGCAAGTTTTTTTCTGCTTTAGTAAAATTGGAGGATCTTTTCACTTTCTCCTGCTTATCCATCACCACAATAGCTTAATTTATTTTTGACATTGACCTTTGAATTATGTTATATTTTGATTTCGATGTCATTTCCTTTCACCAAGCAACCAAACTTGCGCGCATATCTTTTTGACAATATCTAATAGGTAAACCCTTAATCAGTACTTCAATCTGGTGGGTATCCAAATGTCATATTTATTTAAAAGATAACCCTAAACTACGGGTGGATAAACGATTCGTCGACGTTATCTATTAGATACAATTTTAACCGACAGATAAATCGACTTAACTAGATATTGATAAACCGACCCTAAATTTATTATTTGGATCAATAATAAACTTTTTCTCTATAAAAAGACTTTTCTACATCTTATTATTTTTGAGTTGGAATCTTTGATTATATATAATTATATATAATATGGATTGCTCAAGGTGAATAGACGCAGATGGAAAGCGATAATGTGAAAGTGTAACAAAGATAGATATATTATATGTCAGTACGCTTCTATATCTATCTCACTTCTATCAGTACACCCATTATATGGCAGTACGCTTCTATATCTATCTCACTTCTATCAGTACACCCATTATATCCCAGTACGCTTCTATGTCTATCTCGGTTCGATCACCTTGCGCAAGCTATCTCTCTCGTTGGCTCAATCCATATTATATATAATCAAAGGTTGGAATCAATTTCAATATTAGAATATGAAAATGTCACATTTTTGTTTTTTTGAGATGATTGAGTTGGTAACATTGATAGTTGGAACCTTTTTTTGTAATAAAATTTTTGTAATTCGCTACGGTAATGAAAGCTATAACAGTACTTAAAGGGGTGCTGTAATGAGACTCATTACAGCATCCGATGCTGTAATGAGATTTTAGTAACATTTTATGGAACCAGTTCAAGTTGGTGACATTGGGTCATTAATTTTTCTAGTTGTCAATGTGACAATTTTTGTCTATGAATGTTTAAACACGTTCTTAGCATCGAATACAAGGTCCACAATGATGAGGACATTGACTCTGAGCAATTTCTCGTATTTTGGGAGGTGTACATCAAACATTTTTTTCAGGTGAATATATTTTGTGTTTTGACAGTTTCTAATTGTCAATTCAAAGATTCTATTTTCAAGTGTTCCGGTGTTACCAACTGCTACATACCTATTTCCCTACATTGCCAAAATTTACTTTATTTTTGTTAAAAAAAAGTATAAAAACGCGAATTACAAAAAATAGCATAAAAAACACGTTTCATAAGACTTAAAGAAACTTGTTTTTTAATATACTATTATATGCTATATTACTAGTCATTCAATATTCATCACAACGATGGAATTACGCCAAAATTGTCAGCCATCTACGCTTCGAAAGTCAATATGTTCTGTTCGAGATGTAACAAAGGTAATATAGGATCTCTATTTGAAGTTGTCCGCTATACATCAAAGGATATTCAGAAATTATTTCCCGTTAATTGACTTCAGTCATTTTTGAAAATAATTAAACATTCGTTTAACATGATTGACACATGAAGCTATTATATGGCTAGTTAGGCTAGTTTCATATCGCATCGGTATAAATTTAGAGTGTATGCTACACACAAATTAATTGATAGTCGTTTAGGAATTTACACATCAGCAATTGGCACATTTTTAGAGCTAAGAACAAAAACGGTAAATGAATGAAATTAATTAACGATCGCAATTAACACGGAAATACAATTAGCATAAAAATTTATGCGAGGATTTTAGTTGTCGGTTAAAATCTTGAAACTTGAGGAAAATTAAGGCGTCAAAGAAGTTTCTTTCGAGAATGCACTTCGAGGAGCCAAGTTAGCGTTGCACTTAATTAATTAATTACTGGCCGGGTAGCGCGCTGTGGCTTGTTTAATCACGCGGACTAGCCTTTGCACGTTTACTAATTAACTATTTGAGATAGACCAACCATCGTTTGAAGAGATTTAATCAATTTTTGCCAAAAAAAAAAGTTTACGGTCGAGATATATCAGATAACCGTCCTCGCATACACGTCACGTTTGATCGCAATTTCCATATATTTCCTCCTAATTAGTGCGTGATATTGTCAAACCAATTTTATGTATAATTAGTCGGGCAGATATCGAGTGTCACTTCGTTAAAATATGCACCAAATTTGCTCCGAAACGAATTTATGGATGTACTTAAACACTTTCTATGTCATCCATGAGCTAAATCTCGCATAAAAATCGTCGCCTTTTTTATAACCCATCCACCGCGTTAGAGTTAGCGGGAATAAAAGCGTTGAGCATGGGGACTCCGGAAAGCACAAAGGCCACAGACGTTCCAAGATAAGGGTACGGATGACGATGGGGAGGATTATTACTACGAAAGAAGGTCATTGCCTGAGAAGGTTTCCGTGACAGCTCGACGTGATTCCCAAAGGATTCCCTTTCGAGGATTGGAATTAATTCTGGTTGTTTCAGATGGTGGCCGAACAAAAGCACCGTTTGCTTATTATACCGAATTTCTGCACGGATCAGAATCAAATGACGCTGACGTCTATTTTACTGTCGACTTGGAGGGCCAAATTGAAAATCTATGCGGTTATACAGCAGTAGTTGAACTGCGCTTTGTTATTTGCATGCTTTCAGTGTTTATTTCATCTGACGCTGAATTGTAGTGACATATAGCATGTTCATTTTTAAAAATCAAATTGAACTATTATTCCATTATTTGAGACTTTAATTTTATTACTCGCTTTATATACAGCCTGATTCAGAGTAAGCGCTTTATTTTTTTTTGCCACACTACTTTCAAAATATTTGGCAGTAATATGTTTTAGGACACTCTCTACACGATGGTGATATCATATTTTAAATTTTTTTCTGTCAACTTTTTTTTTTAAATGGAATGCCAAAATTTTTTTTTTATTATTGAGATCTTAAAAGCATTCTTTTTACGACAATAGTTTGTTTTTCTTAAAAATTCATTTCTTTCCCCATCCAAAAGGAACCTAATATTTTAATCTATACTCTGTTTTTAAACCAGGAGGAGTATTTTAAATTTGTCACCAGATTGACCTTGCACGTGATTGGTTGAATGCGAGGAAGGTTCACACACAGGCAATTTTGAATTTTGATTTTGAATTTGAAGGTTAGGTAATTGATAATTCGACAGATTCGTGTCATTATTGTATATTTTGTGTTCTTAAACCCTTTTTTATTATATTTTGAAATAAATATACTCATAACTTCAATGTTAATTTGTATGTATAGTGTTGACGATAACAAACGAAAATAAATACAGGTAAACGTCGTTTTACGCCGGGGTTCCGTTCCGAGAGACACCGGCGTAAACAAAATCGGCGTAAAATGAACACAATTATAATGAACGATATAAGGTTAGGTTCCATGTCAAAATTCTAAGAACAATCTAACATGTTTATTTAATACATATCCTATATATATTTGAAATAAATAATAATCTCTTGATATAAATAATGATTTTTTTGAAATAGATACTAACTCACTAGTTCGTCAGTACTAAATTAAAGTCCCACACTTTTTTGAAAAAAGCATCCAATTTCATTTGCTTTGATTGTTGCTTCCTTTCTTGCAGAATAGCATAAGGTCGAACGGCAGCTGTGACACTTCTTATAACATTTGCGCTTCGATTGTAAGCTTTAGATAATTTCTACGCTTTAAAGGTAGAAATTACCCCCTGATCCATGGGTTGTAAAACGGAGGTTGTGTTAAGGGGCTTGTAAATTACCTTGAAGTCCAATCCCGTGTCTAAGGTGACAAGATTTTTCGGATGTCCTGGGGCATTGTCTAATAGGAGGATTGCTTTCTTTGGAAGGTAATTTCGGTCACAAAATTTAAGTACAGTAGGGCAAAAATAATTTTTATACCAGTCTGTGAAAATCTCCTGAGTGATCCACCCTTTTTATTCCACCTCCAAAAAACTGGCAGGGAGCTTTTGTCAAGACTTTTAAAAGCCCGTGGATTCTGGGAATGGTACACTACCATTGACTTAAATTTTAAAGAACCAGAAATATTTGATACCAAGAGAACAGTCAGTCTATCCTTGACAGCTTTAAATCCAGGAGGGCTACGTTCTTCTCGCAAAATAAACGTTTTCGATGGCAATTTCTTCCAATAGAGTAGTTCCCTTGTTCCACAATTTCTTGAAACTTTTGAGGGTAAGCTGCTGCTGCTACATCAGCGCTTGCTGCTTCGCCGCTTAGTTTAGTGCTATAGATATTGGTTCGAGATTTGAACCTCATGAACTACGCAGTGCTTGCCATAAAGTTTCGTCAGTGTTTTCTTGCGCTTTCAAATCAGAAAAAATCAACAGTGCTTGTTCGCATATGTCTGCTTGTTATGCAGGCATATTTTTTTGATTGGCATCATCAACCCACAATGCTAACATTTTTTCCATTTTCTCTCTATTTTTACTCCTGCTGTAAGTTGCGTGCTTTACACTTACCGCGAACTGGGGAATCCCACGCCGGCACCAACCGGCGTAATTGTGAATCGGCGTAAATCGAACCGGCGCAAAACGACGTTTACCTGTACAATAATAAGTAAATAAATAAATAATAATTATTAATTTAAATTTACCGCCAAAATATCTAGTGATATTTTCTGGTGATTTTTTCCAGTGTAAATCTGACTTTCGCGTTTACTCCTCCTGGTTTAAAAACAGAGTNACCTATATCAATCAGTGAGGTTCAAAACGCAATCTCTGCGGCAAAATATGGAAAGGTATCAGAGATTAATAACATACCATCGAAAGTATTCTAGATGGAATATTCATCATCACCAATATTGATGTTACATCTTGGAACAAGATTTGTCCTAAATTTTGTTGATATTTAGCCCAACTCTTGCACACGCCTCCTGTATACGTTCACCATCAGTCTCATCTCTCCAAGGATACCGAAATAAGGACCATATCGTCCGCGTAGCGCAAATTACTTAGGTATTGCCATCAATTTTTATACCTTTTTGAGTCCAATCCAGTTATTTAAATGCACTCTCCAGGACTGTGATAAACAATTTGGGTTCAACATTATATCGCCTTGCCTTACCCCACGCTCATTGTAGCATTCTTGTAAATGTAATAAATAAGTTTGGTGTATCGATAATGGACTCTGTATTCTTGAAGTACTTGCAAAACTGCCATCAACTCAATTTAAATCAAATTTTATAAATACCTCTAAATACCCATCTTGGGTAAATACCCCAGGGTATATGTCCAGGGAATTTTCCCTTGAAAATAAATACCCGGGTATTTAACAACACTGGCCAAATCTGACGGCATTGATAGCACAGTATCAGTGCTTATAATGTCATCCGCAGCCCATTGGTAGGACATGTCGGAAGAGTTTTGAGCACATTGCTTAAATCTGTAAATGGTTGTTCTAGCCGCTTTCTCTATATGCAAATGCAGAGGAGATAGGCCAAGCAGAACCTCCATTGCTAGAGTTAGCGTTGTGCCTATCGCACCAGAGATTGCCAATCCAGCTACTCGTTGAATTCGTGAAAGTTTACTGATAACTGAAGTCTGTCGGACTTTCCTATACCAAGCTGCTGCTCCGTATGTGATCATAGGTATAACCACAGTCACATAGAGCCAGTACAGTCTTTCAGGGGTAAGACCCCAATTTTTTCCACAAAGACTGCGACAAGTCCACAAGGATAGTCTAGCTTTGTGCAAAACTCCCTGAAAATGTCCATTCCATGACAGGGTTTTGTCTAGGATTACTCCTAGATATTTGACTTCCTTTGAGAAAGGAATTTCTTCACCTTGGATAGTTGGGCGGATAGTCCATCCAACTTTCGCCTCCTGGTGAAGGGCACAACAATTGTCTTTTGCGGGTTTATTGAGAGGTTCTCTCCCTTACACCAAGCGCAAATGGTATCTAGGGTCACCTGGAGGACTTCAGATATCCTCGGTAAACAGGTTCCTTTGACCATAACGACAATGGCTTCGACTATCGCAATCAGATCGTCAACTAGGAGGGACCAAAGCAGGGGAGATAACAACCCTCCCTGCGGGCAGCCACCTCCCGGCCTGAAGCGTATCGTATTACCGTGGAGTGAAGTAGAAACTATTCTACTATCTAGCATATTACGGATCCATACCCGCTATAGTTGCTTCCACTCCCCTGTCAAGAACAGCTCTTTCAAGAGATTGTGGTATTGCGTTGTTGAACGCTCCCTCTATATCCAGAAACGCACAAACCAAGATTTCTTTATCCTGCAGCGTCCTGGATACTCTACCAACTAAGTTGTGTAGAGCCAATTCTGCTGATTTTCCTGCTTGATAAGCATACTAGTGGCGACTCAGTGGACCAGATACCAATGGCACCGTACGGATATACCGTTCCAGAACTTTTTCAAGGGTTTTCAGCAGAAATGACGTTAGGCTGATGGGTCGAAAGGCATTAGAAGTAGGGACCGAACGGCCCGCTTTGGGTATGTAAGATACCCGTACCTTAGTCCATTCTGCCGGCACATATTTCCAGGCAACACTCGATCTAAAAATTTTTACCAAAATTGGCAACAACAAAGACCTCCCCTGCTGTAACAAAGCAGGAAAGATATTGTCTTCTCCAGGCGATTTGAACGGTTTAAACGTTTGAATTGCTTGGTCCACGGATGTGTAAGTGACGACTTTTCTAGCCACACTCCAATCCGTATTTGAGAGGCGCTTTGCCTTGCAAGAATAGCCCGCTGTGGCATTATCGGCCCTCATCATCAGGCTTCCTGGGAAGTGAGTCTGCATGAGAAGCTCCAACGAGGCTCTGCTAGAGTCCGTAAAACTACCGTCAGGCCGCCTAAGTGAGCCCAGGGGTAGTGCCGGATCTCTAGCGAGAATCTTGTGAATTCTTGCACTGCTGGGTGTGTCTTTCACTCCCTCACAGAACCTCCTCCAAGACTCTCTTTTTGCCTTACGTATGTTTTTGGTGTAATTCGTTAGAGCCTGTTTATATTTCTCCCATTCACCTAATGTCTTGGCCCGGTTAAAAAGCTTTCGGACCTCTTGTTTTTCGGAGCTAAGAGATTCGTTCCACCAGGGTGTGCCCCGATTATTACTTTTCACCTTCAGTGGACTGCTACTGTGATCAGAGCGAATTGCCACAGAGATCTGCTCCGTGGCTATTTCAACCTGATCACAGTTCCTAACGGTTGCGATGACACTAGTTAGGTTATCTGCAAGGCAACTCTTAAACAGATCCCAATTAGTGCTACGGGGATTACGGTACGTACAGTCCGATTTCATCCCTAGATCAATTTTAAATTGTATATGTGTATGATCTGAATACGACGGTTCAGAGGATAAATAATTGAGCTGAACGTAATGTCAAGTACTTGATACTACTTACTGCAGATAATTTACTGATTAAAAAAATTTTAACGTTTTAAACCTATTTTTATTTATTTAGAATAATCATAAAAATCACAAAACTTCTATACAATAAACTGAAAAATAAGTATACAAGAATATTTATTACATTTAGTAAAATTAAAGAGATTGAACTTGTTAATCTCAATATTTCAAAGCAACCTAACTCTATTATAAACAACGATTATGAGAAAGACTATTTATTTACTCAATGTTAAATAGATCTTTAATTAAATTCGCGATCTCTTAAGACAATTGGAGCAATCAATGTCCATCCATACAAGAATAAGCAGAGCCAGCTCGATATCGCTTTAATCCACATTGAAGCGGCGTTGGCGTTTAATGTTTCAAGTGTTGAATTAGGCCTAAAAATAATTTCAAAATAAAATTGTTTACACCCAATATTTCGTTTACTTACTTGTACCAATTGGTGAGTGTCATCATGATGTATAAAGTAGCCAAAGCGAACATGATATGGAAAAAACTCCAATTGTAAGCGACCGTATCAGCTTCGTTATCCCAAACTTGCGTCTTTTTCTCACCTCCCTCTTCGGCGTCACCACCTGGTATAGAGTCATAGCCGTTAGAAGCTTTAAAATACATAAAAAGAAAACGAAAAAAAAGTAACATGAAATGGGATTAAAATGAATAAAACAACACTAAAAAATCCATAGCATTATGTAACTACAAAAAAATGTAATATCTACGACTTAAAAAGCAGCTGGTATGATAAAATGAGAAATTAAGTTAAATACAAATAAAATATATACTATTTTTTCACAAAAATAATAATTGTAAATTTAAAGTTTACCTTCCCGATTGACCAAGTGAGCGTCGTCATTGGGTTGAACTGTTAATAAATAAAAAGAAGATTAATATTTTCAAACAAGGTAGGTGTTCTAGATTTTTGAAAGATGTACAATTTCTAAAAAAATAAAATACATAATGCTATGGTTAAGGAATGGATAAAAAATAATATAAGGTGAGTCATAATTAACTGTAGAAAAAAAATAGTTGAAAAATTCGACAAATTAGAATTACTCAACTATTCTTTTATTTTGCATTTTTTATACGTTATGTGAAATATTAAGAAGTTATAAATATATGATGAATAGAGCTCGGATTTTTATGCAGTCAAATTATAGAAAATATGCGCATAAATATACAAGCTATTTATTTGAAATATGTATGCAAAAATTACTGGAAATTTGCAAAAATATGCCTTTCTTATACTTGTTACCAATCTATTTCTATCACATTTTTGTATATGTTTTGCACTTTTCACATGTTGTTATTGTTATTTGGGACTTCCTCTCACACGTTATCTTAAAAAATAATAATTAAAAACGTTAGCCATAGATACTCTAACAGATTAAAAATTTAAATCTGAGACTATAAAACAAATTCGTGTTTTTCATTGTCTATTGTCTAGAAACATGTAAACATATCCCAAGAAGATAAGACATCAAATTTAATATAGTTTCAATTTAACAGTTTTCCATTTTTTTTTAACTCCTAGTATAAAAGTCTATGAAAAATACAATTTCGTTGCCATCAAACCATTGGCAACTCCGCTGAAAACTCTAATTTTTAACTTAAATCTTTGGCTAAAACGCTAAGACATAATTTAAAAAAAAATACGTACTTTGGCACAAGTTTTACAAAATACTTCCTCGTTATTTAAATTTAGTTCGGGATAACTTTTTATCACTAGGACACAAGACACGATATCACTTTAGGCATTGTTCTTATAGATTGGTAGATTAATGTTCACTCACACTGAACACAGCGACAGTAACTATGGTTGAGGATTTCCTTAAATGTTTCTGTGAATCGTTCTAAACAAGAAACCAACCCGCAATCAAAAAATATCCTGTATTGTGCTTTAAACTAAAAGGGATGTTCGCATATAGTTCATTTTTTTTCTATAATACCTGCCAAATTGTTGTAAAGTTGGCAAAATTAATAGGGAGTTTTATTTTATCATGTTTTGAAGTAAATATGTTATACCGACGTTTGAGCTTTCGTTATTCAAAATTGCATAAAAAATGTTATGGGGTGTTTATTTGCCATTTATTTACCTAGAAAAGGTGTTTTGTTCTATTTAATTACTTTGTAGCACGTTTTTACAACAAACATGTACTTCGTTAAAATCGTATTTATCTAAAAATTTATTAGTATTTTAACCTCAACTATTTAGTTACTGAAAACGTTAGTAAAATCAGGAAAACAACATGTTGTCCATTAGCAACAAGGCAATGACCTAAACGATCACTAAAAGCTCGAATTGTATTTCTTAAATGATCGGGCAGTATTTGAGCTACTTCGTACCGTATTCGCCGTTCTAATTCTGCTAAATTGTTAGGACGGTTTTTGTATACCTTGCTTTTTAGGTGACCCCATAAGAAAAAGTCGTATGGTGTCAAGTCTGGAGAGCGTGGTGGCCATTCTACAGGACCCCTACGGCCTATCCAACGATTCAAAAATACTTCATCTAAACGCCTGCGTACATTTAGTTGATAGTGAGGTAGTGCCCCATCTTGTTGAAACCAGAGATTGTTTTCGTTCGGAAAAAGGTCTCTACAGGTCGGAATTATTTGTTCCTGCAGTAATTCCAGATAACGATCGCCAGTAAGGTTTTCATAGATTACAAACGGGCCGATAATTCGATCTCTACAAATACCTTCCCACAAATTTATTTTCTATTTTTCGTTTGCATATGAATTTCTATTGCCCAGTGGGGGTTCTTAGCAGACCAGTATCGTCAATTGTGTCTATTTACTTTTCCATTCAAATAAAATGTTCTGGCTTCGTCAGAAAATATTGTCTTGTTAACGAAGTTTGGATCATCGTTAATTCGCCTCATCATTTCTTCACAAAATTGTACACGTCTATCAAAATCATCTTCTGATAACTTTTGCAGTGAAGCTGGTTTATAGGGATGTTGTTTCTCCTTTTTCAAAATGTTTTGAATAGATCCTGTACTGACATCGAAATTTAAGGCTAGTTGACGAATCGAGGTATGTGGATTATCTGTTATTTCTTCTAACAAGGTGTGTTAGAAGAAATAGCCTCATATCTTAATTTGTTGCAACATTCGGCCGACCGCATTTTGGAATATCCTTTACATGACCGGTCTCCTTAAAACGTTTTAGAGTTTTACTAACAACCGATTGACTAATTGGTTGTCGATTTGGATATATTTCATTAAATAAAACACATATTTCATATTGCGTTCTCATACGATCTCCAAAACCAACCATTGTTAAAATAATAATTCGTAACTGTTTCCGTTAAATGTACCATTTTTCTAGTAGATATTTAACTAATAATGCTAGCAACTCTACTTTGTTTAAACTGTCTCCGTTACCATGGCAACGCACATAACAATCATATCGTCACGTCATAGCCTGCTCCAGAAATGTGTAATTTTTATACAAGCGTATGTAATGTTCAATAGTAACAATAACTGGAATAACTAATAATATCTCCGTGTCCTAAACCCATGTTCTTATTTATTTAATATCTACAATTAAGGTCTTTTCGAAATCAGCTTAAAATAGACTACCTAAGTCTGACGTCACAGAGGTGGGCGGAGCTTATACCAACTCCAAACAATTTCATTGCTAACCACAGTTGCTAAAATAAATCGCCATAAAAATGTCATTTAAAATGTCATCTAAAATGTCGCTTAGTTTATTTTATTTTAACACTAATTGAAAAATTGCATATGGGGATTTATCGTTAGCAACGAAGATGTTTACAGTCGGTATAAGCTCCGCCCACCTCTGTGACGTCGAGTCACCACCGTTACCATAGTAACACATATAACAATCCCACAATGACGCCATAATTTGGTTGTCGCAACGTCAAATGTTGTTAAATGAAAGTTTCAATATCTCGAAAACTATGCAGTTTAAAGCATTAAAACCTTATGGCATTTTGAAACACCTTGTCAAAAGGAATCCAAAAACCTTAAAGTATACAGGATGTTCCATTTAAAAAACACACTCACCATGTCATAACTCAAACTGCCGTCATCATTTTTATTTTATTTCTGCACCAAGATATGCGGAAAATAAAAAAAGTAACTTTTATTTAAAACTTTTTTTAATATAAGTTGAAGTTTAGGCTGTAGAACCCTTATAAAAAAGAAGCATGGACTTTTTGTACACCCTGTATTTATTTTATTAAGCAACAAGAAACAAATCTAGAAAAAAACAAAATATGCGAAAATATGCAGTAAAAGGGCCATTTATGCAACAACCAAAAAAATTGTAAAAATATGCAAAATATGCAAATAATAAATATCCATAACTAATCAAAATCCTACCCCTTTTCCCAGTCTCACCCTGTCTCCCTACATCTCCTTGCTGCCACCACCTCCCCCATTCATCTCCTTCCCTCCGCCCTCTCCGCCAACACCTGTCTCCAATCCATCACCACCTCCCTCAACTCACTACACTCCACCAGCAGATGGTGTAGAGACTCCCAGCCCTTCCCACACAGCCTGCACTCCCTCTCCTCATCTTCCGTCCAATATCTGTTGGCACTTTCTTCATTCCCACACCTAAACCTAGTTACCAACCTATTCCCCTCCTACAATGCCCTCCACCTTCCATCCTCTCCTCAAAACGCACCGCTTGCTTACCTGCCTCCAACACCCACCTCCAGTATCTGGTCTGTACATCTCCTCTAAGAGCGTGGTCCTTCCATCCCCATATCTAAACCCCATACATCATTACGCTTTTTATCAAGCTCTCAAACATTAATTTCCTTTTTCCCACATCTTTCCCAGACATTCTCTCACCCCATCCCCATAACATTATTCGCCCTCGCAGCCAATATTCTAATATGTCCTCCTTCCTTGTAGTTCTCCTTAACTCTGTATACCAGGTATGTGTACTCCCTCACTTCCTCGATCACCCTCCCCTCCCATCTCCAGTCGTCAGTCTTCTTCTACCCCCTTCATAGAACCTCATCATTTTCGTTTTGTCTACGTTTACCTCCAAATCCTTCTGGCTAAAATACCTTTCCAGCGACCGCATCATTGCCCTCATCTCATCCGCCTCCTTCGCGACCACTACCAGGTCGTCGGCATACGCCAGTACGTGCACCTTCTTCCTTCCGATCCTTCCGATGGTGTGTTGTGTTCACAACGGATGAAGATAAACGGTCGAAGTTTTCAAAGGATAAGAAGGAAAATGTTGTAGCTTATTATAATTATTTTGATGTGCGATCGGGAAATAGTGACAAATCAAGTGAAGACGATGAAGAGTTGAACAGGATGTTCGCCAAGGCGTTCTTGATCAAGTACCAACGTTGGATCCTGCGGATGTCGGTAATGCATAGAAATGTCCTATCGTTGAAGAAAATGTTGTAATAGAAATTGTTGGAAAAGTAGGTTGTGAAGTTCCTGAACAATTATGCTGAGCAACATGTGATTTATCTGCCAGGCAGAAGCAGTACTGTATATAACACTAATCTAAAACGCTTGCCTTCTAGTGATAGCAAGAAAAAAATTTATGATATCTACAAACAATCATTCACAGAGGACATGGTTGAAAAATCTGTGTCATTGAGAGTGTTCACAAACATTTGGCGAGAGACATGCTCAATTGCCATCATGAGACCAAAATCAGACCCCTGCTCGTTTTGCCAAAAACATTGCTGTTATAGTGGTTGCAAGTGAAGAAGAGAAGATAGCCAATGTAAAAAAATGAACGCGCACTTATAACTTTTAAAAAATGAAAAAGTTTTACAAAAATACAACAAATATGGCCATAGACTCTCTTCTCTTGATAATCCGCATGAGACAAGTGTCCATTATAGTTTCGATATGGCCCAACA